GATGACCAAAAATCACCCCCCCCCCCCCCTCCCACTCAAAAGTTAAATGGTCAGCCCTTTAACATTGCATATTCTCCACGCTATTCTCTATACATTTCCTAAGGTTTTGACGAAGGGAATTTGTTCAACGATGAAGAGGGTGTTTAGTTGGTGATCATTTTGTGCATTCATGAAACCTTCATGTGTGATTCAAGGGTGATATTGTGAGGAGAAATCAGATGCTAGTCACTCTTCTGGGTCTAAGGGATGAAGACTGCATAATTATATAACTTCAAGGGGAGTTGCAAACTTCTTGCCGTTTTATTCCATTACCAAGATGAAGAGCTCAAACAGCTTTGAAAGTCAACCTCACAAGAATAATTAAAGTTTGATCCTACAGAACTGGCGCTCATTAACATTATTGACAGCTGCTTATTAAAATGACGAGACAGGGACAATTAATTATTTACATGGACCTCTGTTACCCAAAAACGTATTGTGCAATTATAAAACATTGCACCAAGATCGCGATTAAACAGCTACAGCAAACGCTTCAAAAAATTTGCTTTAAATTTAAGGTTGGAAAATGCTCAGGCACTAGAGTACGGTTAGGCACTCGCTCAAAAAAGATGAATGAATGTTAATTTTCTTGAATTCAGAGCATTGAGATCAAACGTGTAAAACCAGCCACAACGACGAATAAGTTGCACTTAATGGGAACTGAGAACGCCAGTTACTTAAGCAATCACAAACAAATACCTCAACTCAACTTATAAATGCCCAGATATTTCAATCTGGGCTGTATTTTCTAGCGCGGGAAGGATCCAATTTCACAAGCGAACAATTCATCATTCAACCTCAAAGCTTTAAAAATGATTTACCTTAATCTGTTTTGAAACTCCGACGGCAGTAGTCGGTCTTTTAGGTTTTTCGTGCTCTTCCACATCTTCTAAGCCACCCAAAGTAGCCCTTCTTCCATGCGATCCTTTGAGATCATTCTCGGGAATACCACCAAAAACTTGCCTTCCTCTGAACTTCGAAGTGATTGGAACACCAGGAACATGGTGTCTGGATGTCACGTATGTAGGATCGAGTCCTAGTAAGTTTTTTCCCGGAGCAGTTGAAGGTCTTAGTTCATCTAGTAAATCAACAAGTTCATGAGATTCCAATGCCCCCGAAGCCGTGGAAGGGCGAACTTTTTTTTGCGATTTTCCAGGCGGCATTTTGAAACCTTCCACAATTCGAACAGTTACTGTTTTGTTACTTGCACGAGCGAGACACCAATCGTTGATTGGCTCGTTGGTTGCTAAGACTCCTTGGCAACCATTTTTGCTCTGTCAACTATGATGCGCCACAGACCATTTAGAACAATTTCTCCCATCTTTTAGAAGTCTCTCTGATTACGGAGATTTAGAACAAAGTTAAACATGCAGCAACGAATTAGACTTTTATAATCTGCCGTAGCCTCGGGACCAATAACGCGAAATTATGTGCATATGTTGTGAGTAAATGTTTTTCTATTTTTTCAGCTGGATCAATTTTTAATCCCTTCTAACACAAGTACATGATTTCTTGATTAAAAGGATTTCACAACTACGTATGCCAAATATGTAAAAAAAACTTAAGATGATGGGAAGGGAACATTTTTTTTTTTAAGCTTTTGACCTGATTAAAGGCATGTTTTTGTTCAGGCGATAACAGGGGTAAGAATGTCCTCGTTAGTATTTTACTGTAGAACAATATTGCATATTTTGGCATTGTAACCTGACTTATGAACAAATAGAATTCTGATTGACTCGACGAGAGAGCAAGCTGAAATAATTAAATGTAGCACATTGTAAGTAAATGCGAAAAAAACATCGAGCAAAGTAAACTAAACACTTTCGAAAATTAGTGTTTCGTAAGTAAGAAGGCAAGTGAAACCTTTATTCAATCCAATGGTAATTCCAGTTTCAGCACTTTGTGAATTTATCATACTAAAATAATACTTGAAAAGAAAACACACACGCCAATATAATTCGAAATTTAAAATCGGTCCTATTTTATGGTAACTGTGACAAATGCTATAAGGGAATAAAACATTTTTTTTCCAGATTTCAGCCGTATACACGGGCGTACGTGCATAGATGGACGCTGCTCCCCTGGATAGGATGAAAAATCATTGAAAATTCATTTAAAGCACTGTAGATGGTTCACTCCGTTACTGTACGTTACCCAGTCTCACTCGGATTCAAATCACGTTCAGCTCATGAAAAGATCAGCGTCAGAAGTGGGCATAAACGCCTGCTAAGGAGTAGACATTAGATCTTTCTGTCGCTTTTCATCAGCTTATGCTTTCGGGGCAGGAGCGAATTGCTTTCTAAGCAACAAAGTAATCTTTTTGTAATAGTTTTGATTTCCTTACAGAAAGACAACCCCAAGATAAACGTGGATGAACCATAAAGGAAGGAAAATTGTTCAGAGGTGACTAGCTCTAAGGAAATGTTCACTTTTATTTTTATAAGAATAAAATACACACTGCTTTGGGGTTAATTTCACTTGGGATCGAAAAACGACTGTAAAGGAAAAGCGTGGTGAGCTATTGTTCTGCCCGTTAGATCTTTTGTTTTGCCTTATTGCTTCTCAAACTCATTAATAATTCATAAAGTCAACTACAAATCACTGCATGTATACCCCATCACGTGCATGTGTTTAGATACCCCATGAAAAACTGGATGAAAATCTTTAGAGATTTGGATACAATATCCAAATGTCCACTGATTCTCGGAAACTCAACTCTAAGTGCCTATAACCCCCCCAAAAATCTTTGACCATATTAAATCTCTCTATTGCACTGAGCAAAATACCGCAAAAAATTTTGTGTATGGTTAAAACCGCGATTTTTTATGAATTTTTAAAGTCGTGGAAAATCACATTTTTTCAAAACACGACCGAGGCACGGAATTATCAAGATGGGTCTGGGTCGAGCACAGTTTGCGACGTAATTCCAGGCTTTCCAATGAGTTTGCTTCAAGGACTGGATGAAGTATCTTGACGGATATGCCTGATAAGTGAGTTGTTTTCGGGTGTAGCAACACTCCCAATAAAGAAAAAAGAATAGCACCTCATCCGATACCTTTCTATGGGGCAGATGACCCGGAGAAAAAAGAGAGAAGAAAAAAGTGGGTTGACTTTGTGCAATTGAAGCGTGCAGATTGGAAGCCTACAAAATGCTCGGCCGTGTGTTCCAACCACTTCCGAGAAGAAGACTATTCAGTGATGTTTTCTGCTCTGACTAGCGAGACCATGCAACGAAGGTTGCGAAAAGATGGAGTTGGAATTTGTGTCTTTCCGACTGATCACGCGTGGAATGTTGAGGAAACGAAATCAGCTGAAAGCGAGCGAAGAGAAAGGTGAGAAAAATTTACCAGATCAGGCTTTAGCGAAGGTTTTATCTCGCTGGGAACGTATAATATTGACTGAGATTGGATCGGAGCGCCACTGCCGATGGCCCGGAATGACGTCACTAGCCCCAGTCTCTGGTTCACTCGGGCGCTCGAAAAATAAACCCGACTGTTGAAACATCATAAAAAATCGCGGTTTTAACCAAACGCAAAATTTTTTGCGGCATTTTGCTCAGTGCAATAGAGAGATTTAACATGGCCAAAAAAAACATCCAAACCAATGTCTTCAGCTTTGAACACTCCGCCTGGCTCAATGGAGCACAACTTGTTTGCTATTTGGACTTGCCATTCTCGAAAAATCTGTATCGCCCATTTGTTCTTGTAAACCGTAGATTTCGGAACAGAATTGATAATAGACGCGTTTTCCTCGTCAGAAGTTTTGGGAATCCGAAACCTTGAACTTGACTCATCCATCTCGCACAGTAAACTGAATTGATAAACTGTAATAAGTTGGCTAACTCCCAAATGGAACATTCCAACGAAACCATTTTTATCACATTCCCTTGCTATTGTTTACAAACAATAATCGGCAACTCTTTTCAGAAGCTTTACCAAAAACTCGTGCTTCGTGTTTCATCAGGGGTTACAAACACCTCGAAACAATAAAGGCACTCGGCCTGCGGCCTCCTGCTTTCATCTGTTTCTCGGTGTTAATAATAATAATAATAATAATTGTCACTGCTAATCGCCGTCGCTAAGTACAGCAACGACGCAGCTCAACAAGGTCGAACCGAAAGTTTACAATGGCGCCTCTGGCAGCCGCTATACGGTCCATGTGTGACCTTGGAGCACAGCTTACAGCCAGCTGGAATCGGCTGTATGTTGGTTTTTGGTGAGGGAGGAAAACCGTAGAACCCGGAGAAAAACCCTCGAAGCAGAGAAGAGAACCAACACAAACTCAACCCACTTATGCCGTCGGGTCCGGGAATTGAACCCGGGCCACATTGGTGGGAGGCGAGTGCTCTCACCACTACGCCTCCCTGCTTCCCCGGTGTTTGGAACCCCTGATGAAACTCGCACTCGTTTTTGATATATTACTTCAAGTCCCTGATAACTTCGACTCCGATGTTGGTGATCGAACTGTTTTGCTATGTAAGCCTAGAAAAAAAAGCTTCTTTTAGTGGCCGGTAAAAAGCAGACATAGTCTGTCTCGAATTATAACAGTATCATTTGCTTTGCAGATGTTAGACCTGCCATTTTCTTGGGTGTCACCTCTGGTTACAGGTTTACCCCCCCCCCCTTTCAAATGGGCCGTTCCCGTTACACTCGAGATCCAAACTAACGACAAACGCGTACGTGTGCTCGTGAACTCGAAGAAAGAGATTTAACCACGCACGTGCCTCGATGACCCCATTTGCTCTGTCAAAACTCCACACACATCATCACTTTTGTATCAATTTATTTCATAAATTCGTGCCTAAGACTAACACTACCGCGTTTCTCTTCAAAATCCCCAATTAAGTAGTTAAAGGTCTTTCCCTTTTTCCCTGATTCAATAAATAAACAATTACCTTTTAATCGTACAGTATATCCTTTTTCTCCAAAAGTATCTTAATTTAGTCTTGCCCAACTATCAGGGCTCTCTAATTGTTATACAAAACTTTATACTACAAATATATGGTATTGATGCATTTTCAATATTAAACTAAAGTCTAATACATTAATATAAGTATTTATAATTACCTTATGTTATGTTTGCTAGAATGAAGTCTAATAGTACTCTCCATATTTTTTCTAAAAGTAATATCAATTCTTTTTTCCTACAAAAGTGGCATTGTGAGGAGTTTTTCACGTAGGTCTTCAACAAAACAAAACGTCGTATAAGACAAATGCGAAAACGTCTTTGCTTAAAAAATAACACAAAACTAAATAAACTCAACGACACTTCTAAATCTGCACTTCAACCGTAATATTCTAACGTTAAAATGGTTGAATGCCTATTTGCCGATCAGAGTTCAAAACACACCACAATCCGCAAAAACCACGCATACTCATTAAGTTCAACTTTTAGTAAAAAAAAGTGAATAGTATGATTATTGTTATTTTTAAAATAAATTTCTCTGCATCAATAAAATTACACATAATTTTATGTTGGTGGAACGAAGTATTTAGCGAAGAGCGTCTTAAGCTAACAAACAGTTGTCTCATGATCATGAGAAACTTTTGGGCTTAAAAAAAAAAAAAACGAACGGGGAGTAACACATTCTTTTGCCTAAATCAACCGAAAAACAAACAAAAGAAACGAAACAAACAAACAAACAAACACACCGTTGAGCCATTTCTAAAAGTCCAAAGCAAAAAACAAAGCCCAAAGTTTCTGCTTCAAAACGAGGTGAGTAAGAACAAGCTTTTGATACGAGAATGATTGGCATTCTTGATCTCATGTAGAGAGTAAGGGTTCTTGGAGCTCAGGAATGGCTTATTAAAGACGTAACGTGAGGATAAAATTTAATTAACGATTGGTTTCCAGTTTATACCTTAAGTTATTCGTACTATGATTTGAATTCACCCGATTTTCACAATTGTTCCTCATTAATGAGACGATGAACAATATTTACACATAACCTTGACAAGGATCCCTATAAATACGCTGATTCGTTTGAAATTGTTTCTCTCCGGGCATTTCCGTCAACATCCAGTCTCCGTAATACTTTTTCTCTGGGGCTCGAAATTCTGGGCACCCATTTAAAGGATACCTCTCAGTTCTGAGGCAGTCGGGACAGTCACAATCCACGTCCTCCCGAACTAAGACCCTTTCCAAACCGTTAATAGCTTTAACAGGCGAGAATTCGCTGGCCGAATTACTTCCTGTGGCCGAGTCTAGTTCGGAAATTTCGCCACAGGTACATCTTGGTACGTGATCTGCATCACAAAGGAATTCTGTCCTTCGCATCCTTTTTCTGTGCGACGATCTTCTTCGATCGCCTTTTTTAGTTCTTTGATTTCGATAAGTTTTTAAAGGTTCGTTGCTAAGAGCTTCGTCGTCAAGAGGAGACGACGTTCCCGTTGACCTAAGCGTGGACTCTGACGTACTTGAGCTTCCGCTGGACGATGAAGGAATATTTTTGTGGTGTCGGCGCAATTTTGCAAAGACAATGAACAAAAGTACAGCAATAACCAGCACAGCAAACACGAATACCGCAAGAAATGTAATCTCAGCCGTTCCCAAAGTCTTTCTGCGAATCACCTCGGCTGGTTCAGCTTCGGCTACAAGGATGAGAAAAATTGAAAAAAAATTGCAACAAATCATATAAACAGTGCACATATAATACAACCCAACCCTACAGGCAACAACCTGAAGGTAAATCTCGATTTTGAGGGTTTGTTTCGAAAATGTTTTTCGATACGTCAAACTGATCATAAAAGGAAGTAATTGTAAACTATAACCGAATTTCTAACATCTGGACTGCAGTTTAGGCATTTGAAGAACACAGCACAGCTAACTTACTTTCCGTGCTGTAAGAAGCGGTAAATCCTCTCCGTGTGCCGTTGGTCCATCTCCCATTATGTTTGTAAAATAAGTACATGCTGTTCCCAGTTGACACTATTTCCTCTTTAAAAGAATCGTCCTTTATAATGACCAGTTTTGGCGCACTGCGATCTTTTCCGTCACGAATTATGATGGAATCTCCATTCATTTTTAAGGCATCAAACCACAGTCGAACCCTTTTCCCTTCTGCTAAGCTTATGACCCATGTACAGCTAGGATTTCCAGGCCGGGTGAACAACTGGGGCGATGACGTAATCATTCCTTGTGGTTCTGTTAGCCGGCATCCACATGAACACGAGGCTCCCGATTCTGTTCGTAAAAGGAATTTTCAGAGCAATGAGTTCTCAAGTTCGACGAACAAACATGCAGGAATTTTAGGAAACGCTACTTCAGTTAAAGGAAATGACAGAAAACAGAGACAAGATGTTTAGTTTCAGCCGTTTCTTGTAAACTATATGCTTAACCTTTCTGGTATCATTTCCAGTCTTTCCATACCTGGACAAGGATTGAGCGCGCAGGACCTGGACATGAGAGCATTTCCATCGCATGTCGATTCCTTGTCCTTGGATGTGGTGACACTCAGACAGTATCGCGAGCGATGCTGCTTCCCCTGACCACAAGAGCTGGAACACAAGCCCCAAGAGGACCACGAACTCCACCCCTCATTATATGCCTTGCCTTTCAGAATAATAAAAAAAGAAACGTTGCCATGCGCACTAAGGGATACGTATCACCTCGAGAAATCAAGAAAAACTTCAATTTCAGAGTCATTTTCTGTTTCTGTTGATCTTAGCCTTTTTCTCTCCCGTATTTTCGGGTTTATCATCACAATTAAGTGTATTATATTCAAGGCTAAAAACATTAGTCAACACACCAATGTTTGGCTCCTTTAAATTATAAATGTTTCCATTGCTATTCTAGCTTGGCAGCACTGGGGAGCATTTCTAACAACTTCGGTGATGATTTATTTTTGCAATTGCTAATTCGGAATTTGCGCTCGGGTTAAAAGACAACTTGATCTCTGATGTGATTCTCGCTTGGATATTTCAATTCTTCATCACCAACTTTGCGTGAGATCATTTTGAATTGAATCTGGGTAAAGTAGTACTTGAAAAATGCCTTTGAGAGCCTTCTCCTGCAGTTTCTGGTTCCTGTTTACGAGCATGTGCCAAAATGTACTGACGTACTTGTTTCCACACAAAGAAAGAAGCATTGATCTGTTTGAGGCAAACTAGGTGACCTCGTGGTTAACCACACTAAACATCACAAGCTCGCTAAAAGCAAGCAATATCTGTCATTTATCATTCGGCGCCGGAAAGTCTCATTTGAAGTATACTTGCCAAGCTTCCGTCTTCCGTTTGTGCCTATTCAGCTTTTCTACGATCAATATTCTCTTCATATCTCATCATTTTGATTTTAACGAGTCTGTATACAGAAAGTGTGCTTCAGAAAGGCGAAACCAGCCTACACACAAGTTGCTAACGGATGAATTTCGGTCGTATTGACTGGAATATACGTAAGCTGCTTTGAAATATCGCATCCAAATAGACATTGACCTAGTATTGTCACATGGTAACTCAACTTACTACAGTTCAGGCATTTCAACATACAACTCTTCTATTGATTTAGCTAGTTTAGCTGGATGAATAGGTAATCATAGGTTTAGGTCGTTTTATTGTTTCATGCAATACAGTTTATACATTAACTATATTTATTATTATTGCTCAAAACAAGACACAATATACTACAACACAGAAAGCCTTAGAAGACACTGAAGCGGATACAAGGTCACCGTAGCTAAAGCTATTTCAAAACGAATTTCAAACAATTGAGCATTACACCTCGAGTAATTCTGTCTTTACCAAAAGAAACTTTTCAATAAATTTGACACACATTGTTTAAAGTAAAACCAAACAGCTTTTCTCTCTAATAATTAATAACGTTTGGTGTAATTGAGCGAAAACAAGACATCGAAGAGGGAAATGGTGATCACCGAGTTTTCATCATCGTTATCACCAGGTCGAAAATGCTGAGCGATCAAATGAAGGCATGCTTTCGCAATCGAAGCATTGGTTTCAGCGTAGTTTGAGGGCGTTTAATTACTTCGTAGACCCGACAAGTGTCCAAGAATTTCTAAGCTTTTCTAAGCTTCTTCCCTCTAAATTTTGTAAAGCACCGCTTTACACTCGCGAGCCACGAAGGAAGATTAAGAGTTAACCTTATTTTCTCTCTCCTGGGACTTTTTTTTTCTCCTAAACTGATTAAATCAAAGATTTAGAAAACTTGTAATCGCCTATACAACACACCGACAATATTAATCAAAGCCAAATCTTGCGTTTAACTAAAAGCTTTTTACCCATTAGGAAAAAAACACTCTACACTAGATATTATTATGACCTATTAGCAAAGTGCTAATTTATCAAACATTTTTAATTCATCATATTCTCTCTAAGGACCGGAAAAAAAAAAAAAAGGACGACAAAAGCTGGATAATGAGCGGAAATTTGAAAAAAACCTTAACATCAATTTCTACCACAAAACTACGTACTGGATGGCAAAAAAAACTTAAAAATTTGTCTTCATTCGTCACCGATTTGACAAGAAACCGTGTAGCTAGCGAGAACAAAGATTAATATTGGCACCTGATGAAGGCGCCGTGTTGTCTGATCTCGAGTATCCTTAATGATTTTTAAAATAGCTCTGACAAATTCCTTTTTCCAGAACCCTCTGTTATACATAAGAGGATTGAGGGCCCTTGTAAACCACTCTGGTCCAATCTGGATTACATAACAAGACAAGAAGCTCGTAAATTTTTTCTCCAATCATGCCACAAGAACATATCTTGATCCTATAAATAACCCAAACAAACGGTAAACACGTGCCTCCGTATTTAGATAGCGTGACCAGATTCGTGACAACAAGAATCACAACCTTTTGTTAGCTCTTTCTTCGAGACATTTCTATCACAGATTTTAGACTCTTAGGCAACCTAAGAATTAAAAACTAAGCGACGCTTGGCAATTAGAAAATTGGGATATCAAGGAACACTATCTAGAAATAATAAAAAAAAGCTCACAATGACCATAATTTTGCGACGATACGGGATTAATGCACAAAACGCGAACCTCAAAAATACATTCATAAGTTATATTCCATTTCCTATATTAGCGATGTCTACTCTTAATTGGTACATTTTACATGACCCTCCTCGCAGCATTATTGTATTTTCAATTTAATATTTGTCCCTCTTAGACTCTTCAATCTAGATTAGTTGTCAGGCAAAGCCACTCCTATCAGATAATTAAAAATAGGACTTATCAAGGTATCTTTGACTGAAAATGCCAAATATTAACAGAAAAATTTTACCCTAATTAACTCATATAATGAGAAACAGGAAAACAAAGTTAATGACTGAACAGTATTCGCTCTCAGACTGTTGGCAACGTTTTAAGAAATAACTTATAACGGTCTCAAAGAATTTCAGTCAAATATACGTGGGTACTACAGTCTCGGAAAGCTCGCCAGTTTGCTAGTCTCAAAAAAATTGCCAAAAGCACTGATTAATTGATGTGTTTTTCTTTGACGAGGAAAGTAGACAAAAACAGACATGATATCATGGAAAGACGTAATAAATGTTACTTGTGGATTCGCTGGCCATTCAACATCTCCTATATGGTAAATATTCCTGACCTAAACTTAGCAAGATCGAGAATAAAAGTTTTAACAACATGCATCCCTCCTTTAATTTTTGCTCAACAACCATCATCACTTTTACATTTCCACGTTATGGTAATCTGATACGGCTAAGGGTTAGTTAAATACATATATGTTCTAGCACGGGCAAGTTTTATCCAACAGCATGTGTTCGAAAGTAAAATCAGTCATTCCTAATCCAGCATCGAAATGACCCCCAGGGCAACTAATCTTATCATCAAAAACCCTCCACGCCCAGGTTGACATAATATTCTATTTAATCTACACTCTTGGCATGAAACACGACTTCAGCTTGAAATGAAAAGTCAAGCCAGTTGCTCACCTCCAAAATTGTTTGTTAAGGATGCAAAGCGGGCAACAAGCATAGTTTCTTTCTCGATTTTAAACTTCCATCACGATCTGTAGAGATTATGACATTTCGAAGTGTTGAAAACATAGTTCTATAATTAGTCACAGCGATCACGAGAAATTATCACAGCAGCTGGCATAAAAATTGTCAATATTTACTCAGAGTGGACCGAGTCCTTGATATAAAGCTTTCGTGATTTTAGCCTTGAAAACAAGAAGCCCTTAAAATTGGAGCGCCTGTTTTCAATTCATGGACAATTTAAATGCAAATCGCACATGCTGTTATATAAACCTGCTTTTTTTTTTAAAACTGACAACTGATTGAATTTCTTTTCTTTACTCATTTTAAAACAGTTTACGTGTTTGGGCGAGTATTTAATCACTTGCTTGACACAGTTCACTGGGATCTACTCAGTCTAAGGCACTTAAGGTTTCATAGGCTGTTATATTAGCTTGCCGATGCAACACGCTCAGGGCACGAACAACTTCTGAATATTATATTAGTTCGGATATATGTACGTTACCATGATAACCATTTTTTGAGGCTGAAATTACCAGATGTCTGGGGCCAATAAAGTCTTCAAACAATGGTGGATCGTGCGTGTGAACTAAGCACACATCTCTGGAAGATGGCCGTGACGTAGACACTGCTTGTTTTTAGCGCTTGGAACCGTGCTTGATCCTTGTTACAAATTTAGAACCTTTCTAAAATCTTACACAAAACGAATAGAAAATTTGACAACCCTCCTCCCTCCCCCGAGGGGGGCTGAGTGTCCCAAGTACTTTGTCAGTGTATATTGTAGCGACACTCTATCTGTATTATCCTTCAGATCTCCGACAAAAGTAGAATTTTTTCCCTAAAAGAAACACAGTCAGCGACGATAAAAACTAGAACAACACGAAATTGTAAAAGCGATATACAAATAACCTTCGACCATCCAATGAAAGGCAATTTTTTAAACAGATAACGTACTAAAAATGGGAAATCACAAGCTATCCGCTACAACACAATAGCACTTCAAAACGGCTGGCCTTTTCCTAAGTGGATTAAATTTAAAAAAAAAAAACGGGAAATCACAAAAAAAATGTGTCGTTCTTGGACTGAAATAAACACTTCAGTGAGAACACACAGCTGCCTTCATCATCCAAAAAAACACTTTCACAATAATAATAGCGGTTACTCAGTTATTCAAACTCTATTCTGATTTGATTGTTTAGCTTGTCACGTTCTGAAGAAGAGCAAAGATAGGCTGATTTTAATCTCAACATTCTTGGCAAGATTACCCCTCAGAAATCTGTTGAGACCTTAGTAAAGACAACAACAGAACTCACGCCAAGTCGTACCCACCCGAATTTCCTGTTTACAAATGAAAAGAAAGTAAATATACAACAAAACAGACCTTCTGCGGCCCTTCATGCCTTAGAATTCTGTCGTTACTTCGCTAATGTGTATTAAGTTCGAATGCGGTTGCAAGCACGAGAGCAGAATTGCTAGACTGAATTCAAATCATGACCTTCTCTAATTTGACTTGATCCCCAAAACGCAGCCACTTGGTAAATTTTCAAATCGTAGCTGCGTTGCGCCTACATGCTGCATTACTGAGGGTCAACAAAAAGCAAAACAGGAAAACTGAAGTCCAAACTATCCAAGAGTTGTATTTGTTACCTTCCGGAGGCGGAATTACCACTGACTCCACCGAACACAACGCGTGCAGTCTGCCCTATATTTGAAAGAGTTTGCCTTCCGACCACGTTGTTTGCACATTGATGATAGACTAGCTGTTGTTTTAAGTCATTGCGGGAGGCATAATTGAATGTTGAGTCAATATTTTGCCAATCCATTGTTCGAAACTTTTGCTGTGTTTCATTTTAGCCAAAAGTAACCGTGAGCACTTGATTCAATAGGCTGACCTGGTTGATTTGTCTTTTGTGAACCACAACAAAGTCAACAAAACACGACCTGAATATACGGTATTAATACTTGTCAAGGGTTTCCCTACGTCACTTAAAAGCTTTTCTTTCCCATGGAAACGAATCGAACTAATTATCAGCTAACTTCTTACAGAGCTGAATTTCCTTTATGAAGCGAAAAAATTAGCAGCTTTTTAAAATCGTGTCACACAATGGTGCTAATTGGAGTAATAGCTTGTCTACGCCTCTGATAAATAGCTCTTCCTCGCCACGAAATTCTCACGTCATTTGTTTGTCATTAACGCTGAAAATCAAGCTCTCACTTCGTGAACTGAACTGAAATCTCAGACGTTACTTACAATATGAATGAAATCCGCAAAACTAAGTGTTAAAGGTATTTGTCGTAAAATAATTTGACTTCCACAGAATTAGTACGAAGGGAGGGAAAAATTAAGAACTTCAAACCCTCGCAACATTTTACTCCTGAAACACAAATCCATTAATAAAAGCACTTCTCAAATGTTTAGATTGGAGCCTAAATACTTTACATTTCGTAAGTTCGTGTCGCAAAAGGTGTCTGAGGCAGTTACATGTTGGTAATGAAGTTCTGACGCCTTTCCATTTTTAGACATCTAAATCCATAAGTGACAGTAAACGAAAATTCAAAGCGCTTACTAAAGAATACAGAAGAAAAACAAATTTGGAAGCGAAAACAACCCATTAGCAAGGCTGTGTTAGCGAGCAGAAAAATAAATGTTTTACAACATTCCACGTAATTACCGAGGTCAGAGGTTCCCGTTCAATAATTGTAGTTTATCTCAGATAAAATCACCGCTCTACTTACCCGGAGGAAGGGATGGCAAACAGAGAGATGCAACAGCCACAGAGCGTTTAGTGAGCCTCGACTTTGTAATGTAATGAAAGCAATATTCCTCTACATAATCCTTGAACAGCGTGCACGGGAAAAACGTGACATCGTGCCCTTGTTGCACAGCTTTTTGTACAATGGGTTTCTTAGAGTCTTTCTTGGCGAGGACGATAGCATCTTGACTTCGTACAAATGAGCAGCTCGGTTGAGCGAATGAAATTGCCAGGGAGTTAGTACATGGAAAAATCGTCGAGACAGGAGAGGAGAGAGTTTGTTCGCCCCAATGGACGTAGACCTCTTCACTTTTTGCCAATTTAACATTTTTGTAGCCAGTGCGATACTCGAAGAAGTATTTTCCTTGCGTGTCGAAGAAATCGCAGGTAAAACTCATTCGAATCTGGGGCATTTTAGGAATTCTTTGCTTGCCACTGGACAGTTTACGAATGTATTTTCGAGTCACAAACATCGGCTTGCTGCCACTTTGGATGTAGTAAAGATTAATTTCGTCGCGGTATGCCTTGGGCAAACATTTGCGATTATGTCGAATTTTGATCGATTTAAACCGGGTTAAGGCAGTGTGGTTCGCCGGCGAATCGATGAAGATTCCTCCCCATCGGAGAGTCAGTGTCTGCGAGATAACCCCACCATATTCACTGTCCGAAATGCGATACTTAAAGCTGTATATGACTGGGTGGTCGAAGATTTCACATGGTAAAATGACAGAAATTTCTCGTCGATCCAGCGGTACAGTCGTTTTAAAGAGTTTTTTTCCAATAACCTTTTCGTTGACTAACACTTCGAGAGTTCGATTACCAGAAAATCCTGAGAAATTGCTCGGAAATCGGAATGACAAAGTAACATTGCCGCCAAGAACATCCAGTGAGGTTGGGTGTAAATTTACGGCAAGACCTTTGAGTGGTCGTTTTCCAAAATTACCTGAAAGACGAAAAAAGTACCAATTATTTTTTGAATACAAATTTATGTTTACACACAACAGTTCCAATATGACATGTCTGTTATGTATTTACGCTGCGGTCGGAGAAAGATAATTTACATTAACTAGCGTTTAAACGCTCTTTTGTCAACTATTACAAAATTGAGAATGAGATCCGTCCCACGGCCATAAACTTGGGATGTCAGCGCACTGATTTGAAAAAGCTCACCGTGGAGGGAAAAACTACTCTTGCCTACCTCATTTGAGGTTCTAGATCTGCGCTAACAAGCGACATACCGCCTGAAACACTACGCGCAACAAAATAAATTCGGACCAGCAAGTAGACCTGTTGAAAGCAGATATGCTTACCATCGGCTGTCGATGAAAGGGCGCCGGAGGCTATCAGCAGACCACATAGAAGCACCAAACATATTTCCATCTCTCTTTCCTCTTCATGGAATGTCTGTTGTCCTAAAATTGACAAGAATGGAATGAGGCGAGAGCGTACGGACTGCTCTTATATCTTCAGGTGATATGTGCCCGCCAGCGATCCGAAGGCAACGTTTCGCTTAAACCAGTTAAAACATATAATTAATTGTCCACAATTATATTGTTACATTGTGCTGTAATATTCAATTAACGTTTGGTCCTGTTGTGTCCATTGAAAGCCAAACAATGACAAACTACTGGGCCAATAAGGGTTGCTAATTTGTTCCTTGGAGAATCCAGCGCTCAACAGATGCACAGGAACTTTGACACACGAAAGCTAAAACGTACGAGATGACGTCTCGCAGTATTAAGTGTCTTGGAATAAATCATGCTGTCCCCTGACACCCGGGGAGGTCATGAAACGATCCTTCAATGGGTTTTTTAGCTACGATTTACCTCCCGTCGACATAATCATGTTTACTTAACAGATTTAACCTACTTCGTCTGAGCTCTGCGAAAAATTTAGTGGCCTGGTATATGTTAATAAACAAAACGAGAAAAAAAAAATTTGTGATGTCGATTGTCCTGATATCTTCTCAAAGCCACCAAACTACCTCCATGTCGGACGTTTACACATATTATGATCGATTTCGTAAGCTTCAAATCCATATGCAAATTTTGCTACTTTCACAAGTCGTTTTCCACACATCTGGCGCCGTTGGGTGAAAATTACGTGTGGAAGTGAAGTGAAGTGACAAGAACTTGACAAGCAGGGAAAACATTTGAAGGTCCAATATGACTTGGGACATGTTTACCGCCGACCCGACTAAATTTAATTCTACAATACGCATTGGCCATCGATCGTTTAGCGCTGACAAATTTCCCTATAGAATGTTCTGTTTTTACAGTAATTAGGCCGTGACAATACATTTCCCTCCCTGAATACGCCCCTATGTTTGGTTTTACAATAAGACACGTGTAGATTTGTATTGAATATGTCAATCTCGATATTTGATGGTTGGCTGCGAGCCGTGACAATCGACGTCAACAAAACCATTACAGTTTTGTCTGAACAAATGGAAGGCTTCCAAAGACATCCGTGAAAATTATCAATAAATGTCTCCTCCCTCTTCTTACAGTTTATGGATATAACACAAATCAAAGCTTAATTTCGCACTTACATTCTCCTATCGTCGGCTTAGGCGATTGCTTGATTAAAATGCGTCTTGCCTCCACTTAAAATCGTTGCAATAATTAAAATGTTTGAATGGATTACGAAAATTTTAGCGAGTAAATTTTATGCAAACTACATGGTCGCTTTGTACGGCGAGTGAGTTAAACAACTTTTGAGGCGGAGCGGAAGGTTCTTCCATTCGCCAAAACAGAACGCATTGTCACGTTTAGGAAAAGCATAAATAAGATCAGGTTGCCAAGTCAGTGTCGGAGGTAGGTCACGGAGGTTCGCGGGCCGATTTATTATTCGCGATAGCAACAAAATTACGGCATGCATGACAATGTTAGACTCGCGCGCACTTCAAATGAGAATTTCTACCGCACTTTCGATCTATGATCAAAATCAGAAAATTCTGTATCATTCCAGACTGAAATATGACCAATAGCAAATAGTTTAACGGCTTAGCGTCAAGCGAATTTGAACAGCTTCGCTAAAACACGCAAGCGGCCCTTGAAGATAACAGCGTCTTGTGTGAGTACTGCATGTCGCAATGCAACGCCGCAAATTTCTCAGCTTAACGGCTTTGCTCCTACGCCAGGCTTAACCTGGCATTTTTTCAGCCTGTACGCAAATTGGTTGTAAACATTAGAATATTCAACGCCATCCTACCTCACCAAACACAGCAAGACTTCGCAGTAATCGCCTAATCCGCAAATGATTGTTGGTTGTGTTTACCCGGCTGCTGTCTGTTCCCAGCTCGTTCCAGCGTCGCTCTTTGACACTCTACGCGGTCCCAGCTTTCGCTAAACCGATTTGGCGTTTCATGCTGTGAAAGGTTCACCGAAAGAAAACGGTTTCAGTTTGTTGGCGGCTTGTGCACGAGAGAGGCCAGCAGAACACTTAGTATCGTCATTACCTGTTCTGGCGTTTTTGTCTGAAACCGGAAACATACCGCACGCCACTGGTCAATGGTGTATCTTTCATGGCTTATATCTTCCAGCAGATAAGGGGTGCACGTGGTCAACTTATCATTCACGTTGCTGATTTACATCAAAATATACAGTGTCTACTATTGACAACTGACGGTCGTGCTAAAGTGTATTTTGTTTGACAGTTCTATTGTATTTTGATGAGGTGGGCGGCGAAGTTTAACATTTCGTCCAATGAGACAAAAGCGAATCTTGTTTTGATCGACAACATATCAACACTGTTCCGCCTTGGGGCGTTCATGAAAACAAGGCTAAAGATCTTCATTAAAAATTGTTCCAATATTTTTTTACAAGTTCACATCTGACTTGGCAAATTTTATTTGATTTTATTGTGACTGGCGATGAAAATTTGCAATTCTAGCTTTTGTTAATAATCTATCGCCATATTCTTTTCTTTGAAAGCTTGTTTCAATTAGTTTCCTGCCAACCTTGTTTACGCTTGCCTTTTATTTTCATCAAAATAATAATCAAAGCTTAAATTTCTCAGAATACATAGACATATTCGGAAGATGTTGATCTGGTGTTCAAATTAATAAAAGAAGCCTTAAACAGGTCATCAGTGAATCTGCAAATGTTTCTTTCGTTCGTTAATTAAGTTGCAGACAAATTATTTTGCTTGATTTGAAATACTTGTCTTTCTTTTAATTTTAGATGGTTCTTCTTTTGAACAAGTGTTTTGAACCGCATCGTAATATTTATGCTATTTTTCCTTTGTAGAAAAATCAATTCTAAGATTTTTTACAGACAGGAAACCCGAGTGATGCGATGGATGTAAAACGTTGAAGAGCAGCTCATATCCCAAACAAGTGGGTTTTCCTGCCTCATTTTCACCAGTCGAATCTGTCAATTTGTAAGTCACTGAAATAGATGCAATTAGCAAATAAAGTGCCACCATGTGCCATCAACTTCTTATTTTGCATACAAATGAAATGACGATCTTGCAGGTAGAGCGTCATGAAGTCTGTGTTCGGTTATACACCACTGTTCTCTTCAAGAACTCGCTTACGAGCCACGTCGGCAAGATGTCATGTATCGAAGCAGACTAATGTCGTTTTTGTTTCGTGTTTTTTAAAACCACCTGACGCGAAATGACATATGCCATAAATTTTACAAAAGCACTCAAGGCTTTAATATTTAACACAGCCACCACAAACTGCGTAATATTGCCCAAATAGCAACAAGGTAGCCAAGGTCGACATAGCAAAACCCGTGATAAAGAACTCAATTAGTCACCAGTGGCTTCACATTGCCGTCACAATCGTGTAAATATAGCTGTGCAGTTGAATAAATTGTTTTTGGTGAAGTTTGTCAGGTGTTTTGTTCGCGGGGCCCTCGCTGACGCAAGGAAGCGAACATGTTTTGTGGGCCAAATGGCGTATACTGGGCTCGTACTTCGCTGCGCATTCGCGAGAGATGAAGGTTATGTTTGAGTCGACTGAAATATCAACGAAGCAGAGAGAATGCTTTTCGAAAACAAGCCAGTGATATTTGCCTTGCGATTCCGCGAAGAGCAAATATGTCTGTAAACAGTCTAAGGCACGCAAAATAAATATTGCGTAGGTAAGGGAAACAGAGAAATAAAACAACGCTGATTTTACCTGGATAACAGTGTAATCATCCGAAGCCACTGATAACCGCCTGGACTGCTGTACAGCTCGTCTTGAACACGAGAACTCATTAATGGGCCAAATGGCGTATACTGGGCTCTTACTTCGAATAAATCGAGTCCCAGGATTATTTGCAACTGAACAAACAAAACACTAGCTAAACACGATACTAAATAAATATTTTTAGACGAAAGAAAGCACACTTTGTATTGTAGATTTCAGTGTCTTATTCAAAAAACGAAGTTTAATCATAGCGGATCACTTCCATTAACTCTGAGAAAAAATAAAAAACACTGGCCATGCCAACGATGATCCGAAAAGATCTTGTTGTTATTTTAATACTGTTGAATGCAGAGCGGGAATTATTTAAGCAGTTTCAATTCAATTTCCGGATTACTTAGTCCAATGTACGGTTTAAAGAAAAAATGTAAAAAAAAAGAAGGAAAACAAGCATTCACCAATTATGTTACCATCTCTCTGGCACGATTAATGCCAAGGAAACGAAAATTTCATTTAGTAACGGATTTTTCAGATTTTTAACCAGTTCTTACAATTCGCGGCGAAGCAAAGGCTGCGTGTTACTCGAGAACCGGCCTGGCGTCTGAAAAGGCTTAAAGAAACCTTTTGTGTCGCCAGTAGCTTAACCCGCTTGATCACTGGTCGCAACAAAAAATAGAAAGGATTTATCAGAGTTCATTTTTAATTCGCAGCACTCTTAGGAAACCTAAATCCTTTACCGCTTTATTCACTTCCAGGTTAATCCCTATTTGGCTGATGCTGTGCAAAGTGTCACTGGATTATGCCAACAATGAAACGCCCACGAATTTACTTATCCTTTTGGGAAAAATACAACCAGGGAGACTATTTGTGATAAACAACTAATGCGTGTTCCTTTTTCGTTTGTTCGTTTGTTTGTTTGTTTTTTTTTTCGCTTGGCCCGTAATGTTTGTGATAAACGGCTGCCGTGTAAAACGCTTTCATACATTTCGCATCCTTCAAATATATGCAAAGGAAAAAAAAAGAAAGCTGCAGTTTTGCTGAAAATTATTTAACTATTCTTGGAATGATTGATAGCTGGAAATTTGACCTTGAATATAACCTCACAAAAAAACTTTTTGGTTACTTTATGAAACATCCGTTTTACAGAATCACTTGTCAAAGTTTTAATGTCAGCCGTGAATTTAGCTCTTTTTTTAATGTCAACTTGAAACCATGTTTTTGTTTTTCATAAGACAGTGTTTCCATTTACTAGACTGCTGAATATCTCAAAATGACAAATTCAGGCTCGGTTGGAGGGAAAAAATCTATTTTTCAATTTATTTTTCACTTCGTTAGAACCTTTACCAACTGCTGATCTTGTCTAGACATCTTGTAAACGCTTATTTCACTCGCAGTATAATGGCGAAATAAAACACATACATGTTCCTGTTTAATGTAAACACATGACACTAACTTCGAAAATAGGATTTATCACCGAGGCTCTTGGCCTGATTGTCATAGCTCGCTGCTAGGTGAGCAGACCACATTTTATCACGTTCCTTGCTTGAAAACTTGAGCATACACATGCAATGTTTGTTTCAATTCTATATTTACTGGAAATATCTGGGGAGAAATTGATAAACCAATAAACAAATAATCAAACAAGTTCTAATAAGTAAACGTGGTTTTGAAATATCGTCGTTTCCGGGCCTTTCTCTGTACCATTGCAAAAAAGATCGTTGCCCGCAGACAATGAACCTGGCGGACGTCAGAATCTATTCTTGTAAAAAAAGTAGTTTTGGAAACCCACCCGGCCACGGGTGGGGATTCAGTTACCGTTGTTCCATTTTGTTTTGCTTGTTTGTTGTTTATCTTCGTGAAGTAAAAGATTTCACCTTTAAATCTAGGTAATTTAAAATTGTAAAAGGATGACGACTGATAGTTAATGATATGCAATAACGTTAAAAAAAAATTAAGAGGCGTTCTGACAGTTTTTTATCCGTTCATTTAGAGTCAACAATTTCATAATTTGAACAAGAATGTTCAGCCTGTGAACTGGTTCATAACTTTTGAAAACTTAGTAGCAAAAACAAACATACAAAAAAAAAAAACGTAAACAAAAAACAGATGGCGAAGAAAAAAGGAAAGCTCAAAATTAAATAGCATTTAAAAACGAAATAACTTCAAATATTTATGGTATCCTAGGAAGCGCTTAAAAAACACAACGGAGGTATCTTCTCTGAAGGTGATTAGAGCTCAGCTCAAGAATATTTGAAATTATAGATCTGAAAATGACCCGCTAGCTGACAGCCGGAATTCAAATTTTTCACCAAATGTTTTTAGACGTTCGTATAACCCATCGGAAAGTTTAAGTTCTCTCTTGTAGGGTTTCACCAGCCAGAAAATAAATAGCAAAGCTTTGAAAACTTAAACTAATTCTCTTCAAACTGGATAGGGAGAAGGGGTAGGGGGCGCAAGACTGAAGGGCACTTATCTTCTAACTCCGCCTTCCACTGTTGGTTCTCTGCAATGTCTGCCAAGCATTTGATATGATTTTTCTGTTAGGAATTGATGGTTACTCAAACAGTACCCGTTCGTTGCAATTTTTATTTTTCCTCCTTACTTATTGCCAGAGAGGGTACTAATATTTCAGGGAGAAATTATTTTTCGCTCATCCCTAATATTGAGAGCATCGGTAAGCATTTAAGACGCTTTCAAAAAAATCAGACATGAGGTAGACCATTCTACCTATGTTAAAAGTATAACGTTGTGAACTAAAATGAAATGTTTCCTATGAATTCAGTAAAGGATACTTTCATTCGTAATCTAAGCCGAGATATTCTGCGCTTGTGAAACGAAACCATACAAACAATAAAGGCTTTGAGTGCTAGTTACGAATACAAAATATTAACATCACCAAAATGCCCCTTGATTATGTAAAAGAGCCTTCGAAGAGTTCTAATCTTTTAGTATTTTGATAGGTGAGATTCCAACGCTCGTTCAAACTGTGAAATGAATGCTCATGGTTTGCAAAGGGAAAATCATTATGGTTGCTTGGTGTATTTTCGAGTCGAGATTACGAAAAATTGGGATGACAACAGCTCGTATATTTTCACTTTTAGGATTCCTTCTTCAAATAAAAGGCTCTAGTGAAGAGATGACGAGAAAACGAGAGGAAGCTAAAGCACCTGATATCAATTTACGGATGGTAAATTACGTATCCACAAAAGAGGCTTTGAACGTATTCAGAAAACGAAGGACATACCAAGCGAGGTGAAGCTGTTCTGTCACTTTAAAGTTCAACGGTGGAATGTTCGCGCTCTGATCTAATAACTGCGGGAAACGCTGCAGCGTTGAATCGACTGGATCTATTTTTCATCTGATACCAATGAAGGATATGCCAAGATCTTTGCAAGTGAATGTAGTTTTAGAGCCGGAAAAACTTCCGCCCTTTAGGTGACATTGATCCGTAGGATGACGTTTTAATTTGCGCAGTAATCCAGGGAGAGGCGATAATACCGTGGAATTTTCCGAGTCAAAGTTCATACTGACGGTCCAAGCTGACTTATGACCATTTACATTTTTTTTCTGGTACCCTTGTTGTGCCCGATTTTAACTCAGAAATTGCAGCCAAACCTCATTATCTTTGACAGTAACCCAATGTTTGTTTTATAATAGTCAGTTTTCCCTCGCTGTTGCTATGTATGAGACGAATGAAATATATATTTAAGGTGTGGCTATGGCAGTCCCAAGGTGTTTTTATGCAACTAACGTCTGAGTCAAATAAAAGTGATAAATTGTCTTTGTTATTCAGTAAAATACAAGATTTTCACTGTTTGCCCCAAATCCAGCCAGACGCTATGCTAAGAACCCCTGCTGAGAATCTAGGGCACAGGCAGTCTTTACCTAAACAGAAACTTACATTTTGCACCTTTCCCGAAAGTTGAGAAAGCTAAAAGTCCCGTTCATCTTTTTGATTAGTTTGTTCTTAATCTAAGTAGTTTGTACGGTTAGTATGTTTCGAGTGAGTTAGTGACTGACGAGTAAGTGAGTGAGTAAATGAATGTGGGTGAGCGAGTGAGATAGCGAGGAGCAAGCAAGCGAGTGAGTGAGGGAGTGAGGGAGTGAGGGAGTGAGGGAGTGAGGGAGTGAGGGAGTGAGGGAGTGAGGGAGTGAGTGAGAGAGTGAGAGAGTGAGTGAGCGAGCAAGCGAGCGAGTGAGTGGGGAAGTGAGCGAGCGAGCAAGCGAGAAAGTGAGTGAGTGAGCGAGTGAGTGAGCAAGAAAGTGAGTGAGTGAGTAGGTGAGTGGGTGAATGAGTACGTGAGCGAACTAGTGAGTGAGTGAGTGAGTTAGCGAGCAAGCGAGTGAGTGAGTGCGTGAGGAAGTGAGCGAGTGAGTGCGTGATTTAGTGAGTGAGGGAGTGAGTAAGTGAGTGAGCGAGTGAGCGAGTGAGCGAGTGAGCGAGTGAACGAGTGAACGAGTGAACGAGAAAGTGAGTGTGTAAGTGTGCGCGAATGAGAGAGCGAGTGTTTGAGCGAGCTATTGATTAAGCCAGTGAGTCAGTGCATATGTCAGTAAGCGCGTTAGCGAGTGTGTGAGTAGCGAGTTAGTGAGTGAGTGTGTGAGCGAGCAAGCAAGCAAGCGAGCAAGTGAGTCACTGAATGAGTGGGTGTACGAGTGAGTGAGTGAATGTGCGAGCAAGCTAGCGAGTTAGTGCTTGAGCGAGCGAATGAGTAAGTGAATGAGTGAGTGAATGAGTGAGTGAGTGCGTGAGCGAGTGAATAAGTGAGTGAGTGAGTTGGCAAATGAGTGAGTGAGAGAATGATTGAGTGAGCGAGCCATTGAATTTGTGACTAAGCGAGTTAGTACGCGAGTGATTGAGTGAGTCAACGAGTATAAAGCGAGTCATTCGGTTCGTGAGGGAGTGAGTTAGAAAGCGCGCGAGTAAGTGAGTGAGTGTGTAAGGGAGTAAGTAAACGAGTGAGTGGTGAGAGAGCAGGTAAGTAAAAGAGTTTGCAAGTGAGCGAGTGAGTAAGTAAGTGAGTGAGAGAGGGAGAAGTGAAAGAGTGAGAGAGTGAGCAAGTAAATGAGAGAGTGAGAGAGTGAGAAAGAAAGTAAATGAGAGAGTGAGTGAGTGAGTGAGTGAGTGAGAGAAGGAGAAGTGAAAGAGGGAGAGAGTGAGCAAGTAAATGAGTGAGTGAGAGAGGGAGAAAGAAAGTAAATGAGAAAGTGAGTGAGTGAGTGAGTGAGAGAAAGAGAAGTGAAAGAGGGAGAGAGTGAGCAAGTAAATGAGTGAGTGAGAGAGGGAGAAAGAAAGTAAATGAGAAAGTGAGTGAGTGAGTGAGTGAGAGAAAGAGAAGTGAAAGAGGGAGAGAGTGAGCAAGTAAATGAGTGAGTGAGAGAGTGAGAAAGAAAGTAAATGAGAGAGTAAATGAGAGAAAGAGAAGTGAAAGAGGGAGAGAGTGAGCAAGTAAATGAGGGAGTGAGAGAGTGAGAAAGAAAGTAAATGAGAGAGTGAGTTAGTGAGTGAGTGAATGAGTGAGTAAGTGAGTGAATGTGAGAGTGGAGTCACTGAGTGAGTGATCGAGTCAGTTGGCGGGGACGTTTTGTTTATTTCGAAGCCTCTTTTCTTACAATGAACATGGAATTGTTAAAGAAGAATAAAAGAGCAAACCATAAAACTTGCTACGAAGATTGCAAAAACCTCTGATATCGTAGCCAGCTTAGACAAATGTATGGAAAAATGAAAAACGAGGAGTATGTCTTTTCCACGAAGTTAATCCCAAACTTTCCCCTCAAGCTTAGCCCAGGTAATTTGTCTAATTTTTGGTCTAAGAATGCTCTTTTAATAGTGGCATTTATCGATGCAATGAAACTGAAATAACGAATTACGACGATCTCTGTAACAAATTAATCAAAAAGAAAAACGGATCGTATTTGTTATGTGACAAATAACCGCGTGTATCACCGCCCTACCTTAACATCAGTCTTGGGTTGGTTGACGATCCGGATGTTTTTTCTGGTCAGTTCCTCGAACCTATCTACGACACAGGTTGAAAGTATCTGAAATTCAAAATAGAATCAAGATACTTTAGTTAACTCTCTATATTCATTAGAATCAATTAAGTCATAAAAGCTACTCAACGGATACACGTCGTCAAAATGTGATTCTGTCAAGAGTATTGCACGCAAGGGGCCTTGAATTAATAAATGGTAAAGCTGTTTGATTGAAAACCTCTTAAGACGCTGTTCACACTCTTTGCCAAAATCAATCTCAATAAAAACTTGGAAAACTGAATTGGAAGACAAAGTAGCAAGCATAGAACAAATCGCTTTCCCTAATGTGAAAACTGAGATGAATCACAAGAAAGTAAATACATTTGTTTTTCTCCTCGTGGTCTTTCGCAGGTGCAGAGTGTCGCGAGAAGCCAAATTAAAATGAGCAATTAATTAGTTACAGGGATTCAACAAATTGGCTTTCAACGAATCAATCATCAGAGCTGCGGGAGAACAGGTAAAATAATTTACAAAATTGTTTATTAAAAGCAAACCTATTTATTTAACCACAGCCCTACCCGGCCTCTGTGTAAATAAAACAGGTAAATGGGAGGGTTTACAGACACGTTGTAAAGCGTAAACCAAAGTAATTAAATTTCTATCAAGAGAAGCTGATAAACTTTGGCGTGTGCAGCAGCGGGTATTGGAGACACTTCCTTCAGTCTCAGACGATGCATGGAAGTGTGGTCCTTACAGTCATGAAATATCAGCCTTTTCTGTGATGCTGATCTAAGATTAAGTCGGCTCCATTAAAACCATCAATAGTTACAATTTTATCAGATTGCAGAATAGAGAAGTTTCTCTTTCTTATCTTGTTCCGACAGGAAAAGGAAAAGCATTAAAGGAGGAGTGGGCGTAGATTGTCCCACCCTTATGTTTCCGTGGAACAGGCGTGTTTGCAGTAACTGAGTTCGAAAATCGCGTTCTAGTTTTCCTTAGGCTCAATGGCAAAATTACTGAAAATTGTAAACTTATCAGATTAAAAAGACTAGAAGAAGTTTCTCTTTCTTATCTTGTTCCGACAGGAAAGTGGAAAGCATTAATGGGGTAAAATGGGCGGACTGTTCCACCTGACCTGTTCCGTGGGACAGGCTTGTTTGCCGTTACAACTGGGCCAGAGAGTTCGAGAAATCTCTGCAGTTTTCCTGAATTGAACAAGTGAATCTTACCGTCACAAAAAGAAGAAAAAAAAAAAAAACATCGAAAAACAAAGCACTTTCTTAAAAGAAAAAAAAATTGAGTAGTATATCCGGTTAATGAAGCCAAAGCAAAGAGCATATGCCTGATCTCATTTTGAGTTTAGCGGCGAAGGAAGATCACTTTCGCACCTTTGTTACATATCCGGAACAAATAAAACTTATGTTCCCGTGATTTTTATTATACCACGCGAACAACTACTAGAGTGCAGTTTCTTCAAATGTAACAGTTATTGTAAGCGAATCAAAAAGCCTTATTCTACCCAAGATGCTACATTTTGTCACAGCGCTGCTTCTTGAAAGTCTCGCCAACAATAAGTGTAACTGTGATATCTGTTTGTGAGCAAATCATTACTCTCTCTTACGCTAAGTAATGTTTAAAAACGCCGTACTTTCTAATGAAGGGTTCAGGAGCTAAGTAATTCTTCGTGGGGGATATATCCTCTGACAAAATGCGAAGACACCACTGAAAAATCAATTCATCATTTTGCTTAGTTGTGTCAGACACCTCATCAGTTCATTCATGGTCTTTAATGTTTTGGTCACTCACTCATTTGCCAAACTATTATACTTTTTCGTACATCGAGCCAGAAGACTGCAGTCGAAACTGTTTCGATCTTGGCAAGGCCGCTTTACGTTGCACATTCTTATCACAACATGGCCGAATGAAAATTAACTTTTAACATTCGTACAAGTTTTGGAAATGTAATAAAACAGAAAACGCATGCCAGCTTTTCTTCGCCTTTCTTGTGACAGCAATCTCCGGGTGTCTCCTTTCATTTGCAGAGAATGCTTTTTCTTTTCAACTCATCATCATTGTTTCAGTTGAATGTGTCTCTGTTAAGATGTCAGGTTTTCCTAGGAAACTAAAACAACTGTCTCGCGCAGCAGCTTTGTTTAATTAATCCAAAGTTTTGCTCATTTAGGCCGTTAGCTGAATAAACAGCTTTTACGACAGCAGTGCAATATCTTCGATATTTCACAGGCGAAAATACCCCTCAAACCGGTGAGCAAATAACTAGTCTTTTCCAAGTACTGAACTAAAAAATTTTTATTGATTATAATTGGAGAGAAATACGTTTATATAATCTCTTTGTTACTTATCATTATGCATTGACTGTCGCCAACCCATCGACGTTCAAAGATATTGAAATGAGTTGAACACGAAGTCGTGGGAAGCCTTGACGAGAAAATGTTTTTGTTTGCAACTGCTCTGATGGGTTAAAGTGATATGTCTTCGCCTATCAATGATGTGGTAAAGTGACGAGAATGTACAAACGACAAACATTAATTAAGAGTAGAATTTTGTGCTCTCACTCACCTCAAAATCAGAAAGAAGATGGCTTATGCTTTTTCGCGTAAACAACTGGTGTATCGTCTCATTTCATGTCTGAGGCGGTCTTGCTATGACAAAGACGGGACTTTAAATGACTACAGTAACGAAGTGCTCCGTTTGACGTCCTGTGTCTATTACGTCAAGATGCTCATGAAACAGTTTTTGAATTCGAATTCAGTTGTCGAATAACGCAAAGTCTGTCGGGGAACGTACACATTAATAAAAGTGCCAAGCCGGTCAGGGCTTTCTGTTAATAGGGAATTTTTTAGATATCCTGGACATGACAAAAAGGCGCCAATTTCTGTCAAAAAAAATAAAAAAACATTGTAAAAATGCATAAAAGTCCATAGTATAACTTCTATTCTTCAATAGGATTTTTCCAGGTAATATTAAAGTCAGAAATTGTTAATGCACTGCTTAAAAAGCGCTGATTATTCAGCAGAGGTTTAAATTTTCATTAGTGAAAACCAACTGTTTAATTTTTTTTCGCTCGAAAGGCGTAGAATAAATAATTTTACCGCGATCTTCATTTATAAATTGGTTTCGTCATTTGAAGATTGTTTTCAGAGATCTCGATGTAGTTTATTTCTCTAGTGTGAAATGTAAACTGTTATTGCACAACACGTTCACAGTTTCCTCGTCAATTTTCAGAAGGACAACCAGTTAACTTGCATGCAAATGAAAATTAACCGCTCAAGCTGATGTTTAATTGACACCATGAAATTATCATAATTGCCACAAGGCATGGAGATAGCTTTAACACGAGGTAATGGTCAGCCGTTAGTAAAAGTTATTTCGTTTCTGAAAATAAAACTGATGTGCGAAGAGACAGCAAATTCTTAGTTTGGGATTGTTGACACCCAATTTTCCAATTTTGATTTCAATTTCCTTGAAATGTGGATGAAATGCCAATTACAAAGCTGTTCCACATCTAAAGAGAAACACACAGGCCTGGAAAGATTATTCATAAAAAAGGCAAATTTGCAGCGGTCTTTTAGAAGTTACCGCGAATTTGCGTTAGCTTTACTGTTGAATAAATCAGAAAACATGGAACTTTCAATAGTAGTTTGAATACAACTTTCCTCCTTTATCAAAGAGCTGTATTCTGCGTTTTTTCCCCAAAATGTAAGTTAGTGCGTGAAGATCTTGACCTGTTCCCTTACTTTCTGCAACGTTCTGACTCTTAAACTGTCCAGAGATAGAAAAATAAGGATCTCCCTCTCCGAAATCATTGGGAAAATTTACAGTTTTATGAAACTACTTTTCGTAATCGTAGCATGTCCTTTTCTTAACTTTAGTCTCAAACGATGTGCTTCAATGACAGACTTACAGAAATGGCACTTCGCTAGTGGCCTACCAATTCCTGAAAAGAAGCTTGAAAAAAATTGGAAAATTGAAAAAGATCGCGGGATTCGAACCTATAGCTTTCAGAAATTAGTAGAGCGCTACCTACCTAGTACAACTGAGCTACGACACCATACGTTAGCAGCGAGGTCAATCTTAAAAGGATTCTTCTTTTTGCGTAGAGTTTTATTACAAGTTGTCACACTTTAAATCTTTTGAGTAAATCTTGTATTCTTTCCATTATTCTTTTTTTTAACAGTATGCGAAACGCGTCATCTGCTTTTTAGGGCCACTTTGCTTCCCTACATCAAAAACTAGATAGTTAATCAAGTCGTAAACTTGAGTCCCCTCAAATTTGAATACAAGCTCTACGTAAAGTTTAAGTGTTATCAATTCTCAGTTACCATGCATTTAAGAAAAAACTATGCCTTCGGATATACTGTATTAACAGTATGTTGGAAAGTGATTTCCTTTGGAGAATATGATTGAGTTTTGCGCTTCAAACGTTATAAACCACCGTAGGCATAATTCTGTTTGAAACTGTTTCTCTTTGAAGA